TCAAATTTTGTCATTTCATTTGATGACTTTTTAAAATAAGGTTAATGTTTGCAGATTCTGGGTCATCTGGATAGCCACCGAATACCGTAACATGGTTTTAGTGTCTACACTGGCACTGTGTTTAGGTAGGATTGGGGCCAAAGGATGCTGTTTGAAGTGTCACAGGCTGGAGGGAAAAAGAATAGAGGTAGACTTAATATATAAGCAAGTAGAGGCCGAAGAATATCACAAAGCATTGCATGTGGCATACTTTTCTAATCATTCCAATAAAAAACAGCCCATGGGGTATGGGCATACCAAATTCAGAACCTCCTGTCGAAAACATATTCAAAAAAGGTGGGCAGCAGGTGCTTTGATGCCAGACAGGGATGAAGCCCTGCCCAAGGAGGACATTTTTGGTCTCAAGACCCCTTTATACTCTTAAAAATTATTGAGATTCCCAAAGAGCTTTTGTTTACATGGGTTGTATCTACCAATATCTACATGTAAGAAATTAGAACTGAGAAATGTATTTACTAATTCATTCATTTTTAAATAACAATAATAAACCCATTATTAACATAACACTTTTAATCAAAATATATTTTCCCAAAACAGAAAACTTTAATGAGAAGAGTAGAATTATTTTGCATTTTTGCAAATTCATCTAATGTTTGGATAAACAGAAAGCAACTGATCTCTTGTGTCTATGTATTCGACCTGTTTTGACATGTTGTTTTGGTTGGTATATATGAAGAAAATATGACCTCACACATAGGATAGTTAGAAAAGGGAAGAGTATTTTAAAAGACTTTTCAGATAACTGTAGATGTTCTGCTTTGATACTACACCAAATTCAACAAATGGTAGTAGCCACTTAAACATTAATTGCAAGGTAGGACCTGGAACCATATCACCGAACTTTTTGTATTCAGTTACATTAAATTCCACTGGGTTGTCTCACATTTTAAATGGCTCTTTTGCTTATGTAGGATTTTCTAACATCATGCATTGGTCATTTTGAAAATACTGATTTAATGATTTGTATTTCCAAATGTTAACATATTTCATTATATATATATATATCAAGAATTATATTCATTATATAATAGCAAATCATATTCAATCTCAAAAAATATATTCAAAAATTATATTCATTAGTCTTTTAAGACTAGAAAGCTGTCAAGCTTATGGTAGCAGACATAAGCTTCCCCAAATTCTAATTTTCACTTGAAAACCCAAGGTTTACCACTGGCAATAAGTACTGTCACACAATTTCCTTGAAATGACAGGTTTACTTCACTGATTTTCAAGAAAATATCTGCCAAATTCCTAAGTCAAAAGAATAAGTGTTTGTCAGCTGTTCCTTTAGGTAAAAATAGCATTCCACTTAAAAAGTGGCTAATTCACCTCACAACTCAATTGTACAACTGCTTTTCCTCGGGGCAACTATCATCCCTGGGTATGCTACAGAAGTAAGTACTTTGTGTGGACTTCCCATTTTATCACGCTGAATATTTGAAAAGGTGTGTACTCAACAGCCAAGATTTAATAAAAGTAATTTTTACAGCTCCATCAAGGACATTTTTTTTTTCTTTTAGAGATGGGGTCTGGCTATGTTGCCCAGGCAGATCTTAAACTCCTGGCCTCAAGCAATCCTCCCGTCTCAGACTCCCAAAGTGCTGGGATTCCAGGTGTGAGCCACCACAGCCTGTTCATCAAGGATATTTTTAAGTGAAAACAGGCTTTTTTTTTTTTTTGAGTGCTTGTTGACAAATAGTACAATGACAACAAGTTCAGTTTGCTGCCATTTGCTTTGATTTATGTGAAAGTGACAACAGTTTTACCCACCATTTCTTTTGTTTTGTTTTGGTTTGGTCTCGCTCTTGCTCAGACTGATTTCGAACTCCTGACCTCAAGCAATCCGCCCTCCTCAACCTCCCAGAGTGCTAGGATTACAGGCATGAGCCACCGCGCCCAGCCACCCACCATTTCTTTTGAACCAGCAATATAAGTGTTAACTCTATGAAAAAGGAAAATAATATCTTAGTATTATTAAAATAGTTTTATCTTATTTTATTTTTGAGACAGAGTCTCACTTTTGTTGCCCAGGCTAGAGTGAGTGCCGTGGCATCAGCCTAGCTCACAGCAACCTCAAACTCCTGGGCTCAAGTGATACTTCTGCTTCAGCCTCCCGAGTAGCTGGGACTACAGGCATGCACCACCATGCCCAGCTAATTTTTTCTATATATATTAGTTGGCCAATTAATTTCTTTCTATTTATAGTAGAGACGGGGTCTCGCTCTTGCTTAGGCTGGTTTCGAAATCCTGACCTCGAACAATCCGCCCACCTCGGCCTCCCAGAGTGCTAGGATTACAGGCGTGAGCCACTGCGCCCGGCCTTAAAATAGTTTTAAACACACGGATACCTAGAAAGTCTCATGGACCCAATTTGGGAACCACTGGACTGTGGGAATATACTTAACTGGAATCACTATAGGTCCAAGGCTTAGTGAAATTACATGTTGGCTTGTTGAATTTTTGCCTAGGGAAGATGCAAATGATTTCTGCCCAGTACAAACAATAACTCCAAATGTTATAATTTATTGCTGTGTACAATATGAACAAGTTTTGTCTCTAATCTAGCAACTGTATCCTAACATTCCTCTATTAAATCACTTACAAATACCTAGCTTTTCAAACACACTTTAAACTAGTCTTTACAGCTGTTTCCCTTATTAATTAACAAATTGAATAAAATTATTTGATGTATGCACATTTTATATTTGCATGAGTCATGATATTACCTTTTTATCAAAATTGTCCTTTAGCAACTTGAAGTTTTGCCATAAGCCTCCATCTCACATTCCTGTCACTAGTGGCAACTCTATTTCAGGAAAACATCTTTAAACGAATGCTATTAATTTGAGCTACTTTGGCTTTGTAGTTATCTAAGATTAAAGGGATATATCTCATGGACCTCTAGGCCTACTAAAATCGATTTTATTTGAATGCTATTTGAATATATACTAACATGGAATTATGTGTAAACTTCTTATAACAGCCTATAACTGTTCTATAGCTGTAAAAGCAAAACATGTTAAATACATATAGAGCTACAAAATCAAAATAATATATACCTGAATGTGGGGCACATGAAGAAATCCTGGCCCAAGAAAACAAGCATGAGCAGAGAATCAGCGCTTGACCTGTGGCTGGGACTGGAGCAATATGCATGAGCCCAAGAACCCTAAGGATGCCACTGTCATCAGTGGAAAACTCACAGGGCACTGACGGCCACCTGCTGAGAAGTTTTAGGTGTCCCTGGATGAAAAATGTCACTTCTCGGAGCCCTTCTGTAGAATAAGAGTACATCTACCTACCTCACAGGATTCACGTGGAAAATGGCGGTAAAAGTGTGCAATGGTTTTTGGTAAAAAAAAAAAAAAAAAAAAGGTGAAAAAGCATTTCATGCTTTCATTCTTCCCTCTCCCCTTTCAAGATCTCTTATTTCCTAATTTGGTCCTCAGAAGCTGACTCTGGAGCCAAACTCCTCGTTCTACCCTTCTTCAGTAGCTGTGTGATCTTAGACGGTTCCATTGCTCACTTCAGATTCCTCATCTGTAAATGGGGGGTGACAGTAATCCCCCCCAATTGTCTCATACAATTGTTGAGAGGATTATTTAGAACAGTGCCTGTAAAGCACGTGGCGCACAGAAAGAACCCAATAGACGATCGTTGTTAACACAGTGCTTGGCACCCAAGAGCTAAATAGGGGTTGGTTATCTTCACTCAGATTTTAAGTGACAGCTAAGGGTACGGTCCCTCCTAAAACCATTAATATATTTTTAGAAGGAGGAGAAGAAAGAAAAACTAACATTTATTGAATGCATACTGCGTGCCAGGCGCTTTTCATACATTATATGTAATTTGATTCCCGCAAATCCTTATGAGGAAGACATTAGTATCCAGGGTGGGACCAGCGTGAGGGGAATGAGGGGCCTAGAGTACAAAATTAAACGTGTGTGCATGCCACAAATTAAGGAGACACATGCTCTCAGGGCTGTGCTGAGGAAAATGAGGCTCCGTAACATGGCAACGAGGTGGTTAGCAACAGAGATCAGATTCACCCCATAGTCTGCCTGGGGACCCCAAAGCAGACACCCTCGCCTGGAGGGGACCCCAGGGCTTCCTTCCTGTGCGCTCTCATCCTCTCACCCCACCCAGATAGTACAGACCTCTGGGAGACTGCCCATCCTGTTCTAGAAAGTTCCCAATCTCTGATTTTCCTAACTGTAATTCAAGTCCCTCAGGTACTAAAATTGTTCTAACCTTTCTTTCATAGGAGTGCCCTGATGATATAGCTACATTTTAAATTTCTTATAACTATTACAGTAAGGGCCTCTTAAGGTTTTCTCAGAGAGCCCACTTCTAATAACACAATAAGAAAAGCCTCTTAGGACAAAAATGGGAAGTTATGATCTTTCAGAGAGAAGCTAAACCTTTGACCTTATACCATGGAGGATGCTTTTGGGGGCCATTGCTATCACACTGGGACAAGTCCTTTAGACCTGCATTTTGGATTGTTTTCCAACATCCTCTTCACCTAGCGTGTAAAATGGCTCTGGGAATGAGAAAAGCTGCCCCTGCAATTTAGTTTTTCACTTTCCTTAAGATGGAAAGGTTGGCCGAGTGAACTATGGATCAGAACATTGAATCCAGAGTGGAAGCCAGCTTCTCAGAATCTGGGGGCTTTCTCTGGGAATACCTGAGGTAGTTGTGTGAATAACCAACCCAAAGGCAGGAAAAACCTTTGATTTTTTTTTTTTTTTTTTTTTTTTGAGACAGTGTCTCACTCTGTCGCCTAGGCTAGAGTGCAGTGGCATCACCATAGTTCACTTCAATTTCCAGCTCCTGGGCTCAAGCAGTCCTCTTGCCTCAGCCTCCTGAGTAGCTGGGACTACAGGTGCACCACCACACCTGGTTAATTTTTCTATTTTTTGTAGAGATGGGGTCTCGCTCTTGCTGCTTCTTGCTGGTCTCAAACTCCTGACCTCAAGCCATCTTCCCACCTTGGCCTCTCGGAGTGACAGGATTACAGGCACCAGGCCAAGAAAGACCTTTGAAAGGGACTCTTAAAGTCTGTTTGGACAACCTTTCCTGGAGCCTGAGGGTAGACAGAAAGGTGACCTCCCCCCACCCCAGCCTAGGAAAGGAGGCTGAACACCAAAATGAGTTACCGGGAAGGAATGTGCAAATAAAAAGATGATCTTTGTGTTCTTTTCCAACTCTGACAGTTAATGATTTCTCTAGGAACATGCCATGAACGCAATCGTGTTCTCCAATATTCATACGTTAAAGCCCTACTACATTAGGATTAGAGTTCTTATAAGAAGAGACCCAGAGAGTATACATGCTCACACTCTCTCCCACCCCCACCCCACCCCTAACGCTGGGCTCTGTCTCCCTCCCTTTGCCAAGGAAGGAGGCATGGTGGCTGTCTACAAGTCAGAAGAGGACCCAAAGAAGCTGACATTGTCAAGTCTGATCTCAGACTTCCAGCCTCCAGAACTGTAAGAAAATAAGTTTTTATTGTTTAAGCCACCCAAGTCTGTGGTATTTTGTTATGACAGCCCAAGATAATGAATACAAAACACATGAGGCAAGATTGAGTGCTTAAAATTTGTTCAGTGGGCTTCCAATGACTCAAGCCTTATTTATTCTAATCTCACTAATTTTACATCTATATCTCTCTCTAATCCTCGCCACCCAAGTAAGTGGGTGATGATTTTTGCTGTTTTAGAACTAAGATTGCAATAAAATGGATTCTTTGGATTACAAAATCAAAAGCAGCCAAGTCCAGAGCTGGTGGTCTTGTATGAATCACTTAACGTTTCTGGGCACTAGTATCCCCAGCTGTCAAATGGGGATAGTTCCCCCTTCACAGTCTGCTCATGAGGATCTAAACACCTCCCACATGCCCAGTGGGAGGTCAGAGGCAGGATCTAGTTCCTGGAGGCCAGGATTAGGGGAGGCCAGAAAGGAGTGTTGCAAGGAAGTTTCCATGCTGAGACAGGGCGTAAGGACTAGTGCAACAGCGAACACCAGCAAGCGTCTTGACAGGGGAGGGAGGAAGCTGTGTGCTGGGCAAGCAGAACAGATGACAGAATGGAACTGAGGTGGCTGTGGGTGCCCTAGGGGTGAGAAGGAGTGACTCACACCTCATGTGCCCATGAATGAAATCATTACCACAGGTATTCATTGTTTTTTTTTTGTTTGTTTGTTTTTCTTAGAGACAGGATCTTGCTCTGTCGCCCAGGCTACAGTGCAGCGGCACCTTCAAAGCTCACTGCAACCTCGAACTCCTAGGTGTTCCAGCTGTAGGTAGATCTTGACTATCAGGTACTGGGGCCTTCCTTAGATGTGCATCGGAGGCAATAATTATTAAGCATCAATTTGCTTTCCTCGTTCCTTCCCCTTCTCATAATGTGTAATTGAACAAAAGTAATGGCAGGTTTGGAGCGCACTGGCCAGGCTCCCTGTCTGAGAGCCTCAGCCTCCCCCTACGGTCCACACTCCTCTCCCTCACTGTCCCTCTGCTGAGCTGGGAGGCCAGGTCTCTGGCGCTTGGGTGGCAGACTCTGGGTATTCCAAAGGGGTCCCCTCACTTTAACAAGTGGCTTTAACTAGGACATCCAAGTGGTGCCACCAGGATACTTGGGACCAAAGACTCAAGTCTGAAATCTTGGAAGCTCTCTCCCAACAAAGCAGTAAGCACATGCCTTGTTAGAATAAAATAAAAGCAGATGCTTTGAGAAGAAAGTGTCCATGCCAGAGAATCTGTTTTGGTTATACCAGAGAATCTGTTCTAACTGAAAAGGGAAAAGGGCAAAAATTCCAAGACATGCCTATTAGAGACATCTAGTCTAAAGCAGTGGGGCAGAGATTGTTCTGGACTCCATTGACTTTTGTACCCCAGAGTTATTTGGTTTGACTGACTGCCAAATCCTGGAGTTCAAAAGGCGGCCACAAGTGGGGCAGGGGGCCAGCATTCTTGGGGTTGGATTCCCAGAATGCTCCAATTTACTGTGAGCCTCTCGTTCTAAGGTCAGCCCCCTCTTGGTGGTGGTTTGGTTTTAGAGACAGTCCCTCTCCCTACTACCCTACTACAAAGACTGTTAGGGGGATTCTGATGATAAAAAGCATTAATTCTGTTGGCCACCCACAGACTTGAACTTGGCCATGTAAACTTTAAACTTCACCCAGAAGCCACCTCTACAGTCGTGTCTGAAGTTCACAAGGATTGGGCAACCCCCTCACGCTGAGGCCAGCTGTTCTCCTTAGGCCTGTCACAAGATACACAAGAGCTGGTATTTCCTCCTTTTAAAAATGCTTCACTGCAATTAAGTGTAAACATCCGTCTGGTTATTATAACAGCAGCTTAAGTATGCCATGAGGCTTGGTTTCATCCTTGAAACCTTCCACTCTCTCGCCCCATATCCAAACCTGAAGCATGTACCTTTGGGTTTTTACCTGCGAATCACCCCCTAGAAACCAACCACTTCCCTCCACCTCCATTGCCACCACCCTGGCCAAGTTACCTTCATGACTCGCCTCTGTGACTGCAAGAGCCTCCTAACCGCTTGCTCTCCCTGCACCATTTCTGTCTGCCCTCCCCTTCCCACAAAAATCTGTTCTCCAGGCTATAACAGGAAGATGGATGGTTTCAGCACACAAATCTGATTGTGTCACCTCCCTCCCCTTGCTTAAAGCCTTTTGCTCATAGGCAAAAACCCAAAACCCTTCCTTGGCCCTTCCCTGTGCAGCCACATTCACACCCCAGCTCTCCCCGCCTCCCCTCCACCCACCTGATGATCACAGTTCAGGTGGCACTTCCTTAGGGAAGGTTCCCTGGAGGACCCCCAATCTAGGGCAGGTCTCTTTGTCTAAACTTTCATTAATCATGTTTCTGTTCTTAAGAGTAATTATCCCCATTCATAATTACACATTGGTGAGTGTAATTAGATGATAAAGATTCACCTTCCCTAGTGGTCTTTGGGCTCCCTGAGAGCAGGGGCAAGTCTCACTATCGTAGCCCCAAGGCCATCCTCAGTGTCCAGCCTATACACAGGTTCTCACAGGACACTTAGGGAATGGAGAAGTAGAAATTGAGTGAGAAACGAAAATTGATTCTCAGAGATTTAAAAAAAAAAAAGGTCAGTACAAAGGCTAAGGTCAGGTATTCCCAAAACTTTGGTCAAAGGTGACTCATAGAAGTTGACACATAATGGATGCAATTATCTGTGCACAGAATCCAGAGGATAAAGTCCTAACAGGCAGGTTGTCAAAGCCATATGGGAAGGGTGGAGCAGATTTTGGAACTCAGGTCTGTGGCCAAAAGCCAGAGAGGTAGGGAGAGAAGGGCGAGGAGCAGTGAGGTCCCCAGGCAAACAGCTGAGTTGAATGCTGTCACTAGGTTCTAGTTTGTCAGAGAGGCTGATGGAGATGATTAAAGGAAACCCAGGATGGGACAGTCCCACTAAGCAACCATACAAGATGATGTGTGAGTGCGCCAGGGACAGAGCGTGAGGAGTAAGTAGAGCAGCAACCTGCCAATCAGTGCTGGAGTCTGTCCGAGGAAAGCGTACGCCGTCTACCAGAAGGGAAGCCCGAGCGTTAGAGGTTTCCACTCCGCATTGGTTGGAAGGCAGGAGGGGGCCCAGATGGCTCACAGTTGGCTGGTGGCCTGTCCATGCAGATCGTACACACCCCTATGCTCTGGTTTCAGGCTCCCCACGCAGCCTCTGATCATAGCCTGGCTCACACATAGCCTTTCCTGCTCTGGGGAGAGGAAAAACTGAGCACCCAGGGCAGGCTGAATAAGGGCCTCTCCAAAACGTCCAGGTCTTAATCCCTGGAGCCTATGAATAAGTTACTTTACTTGGCAAAGGGGATTTTGCAGATGTGATTGAACTAAGGATCTTGAAATGAGGAGATTATCCTGGATTATTCGGATGAGCCAAAGGTAGCAAGAGGGAGGCAGGAGCATTGGAGTCAGAGAGAGAGGCTGGAAGATGCTGCAGGCTTTGGAGATCAAAAAGGAGCCATGGGATGAAGGTGGTCTCTAGCATCGGGAAAAGGCAGAGAGAGAGATTCTTCCCTAGAGTTTTCAGAAGGAATGTATCCCTGCCCACACCTTGATTTGAGACCAGTGAAACTGATCTCAGACTTCGGACTTCCAGAACTGTAAGGTCATAAATGTGTGTGGTTTGAAGCCACTTAGTTTGTGGTAATTCGTTCCAGCAGCAACAAGAAACTAATACACCAAAGAATGTGAATATCAAGTCAATGGATTAGTACCTGGATCATGCATGAGCCCCTGGAGGGGTGGTGGCTGGCACTCAGTCTCTCTGGGCCAGTCACTGCTAAGGGGCTGACGGATCAAGATTCTGGATCTGCTACGCTGACAACCAGTGTGGCTGACCTCAACCGTGCTAAGCTCCTTCCACCCCGGGAGGCCTGGCCTGGCCTGGGGAACAGCTGGCTCTTCCTCACAAAGACCACACTGGCTGGTCACTGGTCACTGGGGACATGTGGGCTGCTAGGTAAGCTCTTGGGAATACAGCACAGACTTTGGTGCCAGGGAGGCCCGAGCGCAAATCCCTTCTCCTCCTACTAGTCACATGATCATAAATGAGTTACTTCTTCAGTTAAGAGTTTTCTCATCTGTAAAATGGGATGGCATCTTCCTAGTTCACAGTGTTGCTGTAAGGATGGATAGAAACAAGGCTAAGTCTAACCCCAAACACAGGGTCAGGCCCAGAGCAGGCATCCAATCAAGGTCATCTCCTCCTGTATCCCCCTCCACACGTCTCCCCTGTGCTCACCCCTTTTTATGCTCAACTCTTCAGACACTTCCTCTTAAGTCTTATAAGCCCCACGGTGGAGCTCTGTCTTCTGTTAGCCCCCTGGCTACAAGTCAGTGTCCCTAGCAATCATGTTCCCAGTGGCCTGATATCTTAGTTGGGGTTTCCCCAGAAGTAGAACGTGACACAAGGATTCTGGATCAGGCAGTTTGTCTGGGAGATGATCCCAGGAAACACCAGCGGGGAAGTGAGACGGGGCAGGAAGGAGACAGGGAAGGATGTGAGATCAGGCAGGTTACCGCGGTGGCTGAAGCTTAATCCCTGGGATTCGGGGGACAGTCTGGGAGACAGTCATCCCGCCCAAGGGGCAGAGTGCTAGGGCATGTCACACCTACTCCTGTTAAGTCTTCTTTTGGAAGGGGCAGCAATGATTCCCCGACTCTTTCTTCTTGCTGTTCATGGGCAAGACAGGCTCCAGCTCCAGAGAGTCCTCAGGCAGGTGCTGGCAGCTAGAAGGGACAGCATAGAGATGTGGGAGGGACAGCTTCTGCCTCTCCTTGGGAGTGTCACTGGCTACAGTATCTTCTAAATGGTCTCCCTGGTCACAGCTTCCATTCCAGCCTTGCCCATTCCTTGACCAGCCATGCACTCGCCGTGCCTATAGCATTGTTCTGGCCTAACTGCACCCTCGTCTTGGGCTCCTCCAATTTGAGGACTGATATATGAAAAGGTTTTTTTAAATTTTATTGTATATATTTAAGGCATACGACATGATGTTTTGATATGCATATAGATAGTGAAATGCTTTGTGATGAGAAGGAAAACCATTTCCCCAGCAAACCAAACGCTACTTTCTCTGGTCTACGCTTTCTATTTTATTGTCAAATGTCCCACATCACCACCTCCATTTGGTGAGTTTTAAAGCTACAGTCTGCATATGCCAAAGGCTGTCCAGGTTCAAGAAAAACTTTTCATCATCTTTAAAATCTCTAATTCTTCCTCCCACCCAATCACATAAAAGTTACAGCCACCTTGCCAAGCACAGTGGCTCACGCCCGAAATCCCAGTGACTCAGGAGGCTGAGGCAGGAGAATGGCTTAAGGCTGGCCAGGAGTTCAAGATCAGTTGGGCAACAAAGTGAAACCCTGTCTCAAAAAAAAAAAGTTACAAACCCCTCAGGGTTATCATTATGGCCTTGTCCTCATTATCTGAGGATACTAGAGCCTGATTAACAAAAGTCTGGAAAAGGAGTGTCACCGTATTGAATGCTTATCACAGCTGGCCAAAGCACAGGCAGAACAGTTCTATAGACGTGCCCAGCCCTGAAGACCCAGTTCTGACACCCCAGATGCTGTTCATTAGCAGGAAATATTTACTGGGGGCAGATGCAGAGCACTGTGATGGGTGCTACAAGGCACCGAGAGAGGCTTGAGAAGCTTCCGGAAAGAACCTCCCTCCTCTAAAACAACTCTGAGCTTTTTCTAACTTCCTCTATTAGAAAGTCTTTTTTTTTTTTTTTTTTTTGCCTTATCCAGCATTATCTTCTATAATGAACCTCTTGCTGGGAGGTTTAGAATTTTTGTACCATATGGCTGAAAGGGGCCTCAGAATGCATGCTGGTTTACAGATGTAGGTTCTGAGATTCGGAGGGAAAATGATTAGCCCGAAGTGACCCGCCCCTTCGGTGGTAGAGCTGGGCCTGAAATCCCTGCCTCTGGTCCCTGCCCTCTGCTTGCTTTACATTTTAAATTGTTGCTTGATCTACACATCTAGGGGTGGGTTAACGAAGGGCTGGGCTCTGAGCTAGCTTGCTAATTCACTGCAAAGTGAATTCTACCAGCTGCCCTTTTCCCTCTGACTCGCAGCAGGGCCTCTTTGCTCCAGTGAGCCCACCAGATGCTCTGCAGCTTAAACTCCTGTGAACACCCATATTGCTCAGCACTGTCTCTCTGCTGACCACTGTACCAAAACCCTGCAGGCAAATCATTTAAAATGTTCATCTTGGACCCCTCCCCAGACCCACTGAGTCAGAGCTCACCTCTGGGGCTGGAGTTAAGGAAACTACACTTGGAACAAACTCTCCATGTGTTTCAGATAACCAAAGTTTGAACTAACAGCCTACAGGCTAAACCCCGGAGTCCTCAGGATGGCTTATAAGGCCTGCGCCACTTGGCTCTGCTTACCTTCTGGCGTCCCCTGCATGGGCCGGTGGAACCACTCCCTGTTCTGTAAACAGGCCTTGTATTGCCCAGCTCTGCATCTTTACCTCTGCTTCCCAGCCTTGTGTTGTTTTGTTTTGACCAGTTCCACCAGGTAAATTCCCATTCCCCTTCCAAGGCCTTTCTGAAATGTTCCTCATTCTCTGTCACTCTCCTTAATCCCTTCCCCTGGGGAGACCTGCTCTCTCCTCCCTTCCCATGGCTATTGATATCCACCTCTATTATAGCTCTTACCTTATCGTATTAAATTAGTCCTGAGTCTGTACATTGCTCCTTTGTGCATATTGGGGAAAGGTGCCTCTTCCTCCAGAGGTAAACACCTGGCCCGGCAGTAGCAGCACAGACTGGACAGTGTCCACTCCCCTCCCCTGCCAGCCTCCCTTGTGCAGAGCACAGCCTGCTTAACCACGCACGTGGGCTCTCCACCTGTCTTCCCTGCTGCCTGTGAGCTCCTTGACAGTCCACTGCCTTGTTCATCCGTATATGTCCCGAGCACAGAAGCTAGATGCCGTAGTGACTCTCTGCAAAAAGTTTTAACAAGTTGCAGTGAATCGAATGCAGCCTGTGAGCCATAGACAGGGGTTACCCTGCACATGAGCAGCACCCCAAACGCTGTGAATTGCAGAAGGCGGCAGTGCGGATGGGATGGATAAGGTAATCTGTCTGTCCTCCACGGATTCTGGAGTCTTAACATCTGCACTTGGAAATTGTTCAGAGTTGTGAGACTAGATGTAGGTTACTTCATTCTTCGATTTTGGGATCAAAAAAAAAATCCTTTCTGACTTTCCCAGGAGGTAAATCTGGCCAGGGCAAGTTGTGATTAAGGTCACTGGAGAAACCACCTGACTGAAAGGTCCTCCGTTGAGTCCCTTCTGCTGCACAACTTGGTCATCATGAAGTGGGGACGTCCACAGGCCCTGTGCTAACACAGAGGACCACAGCGAAACAGCGATGTAGCGTTTCAGACTCTGCTGATCTGGAGGGACAGGAGGTGGAGGAGTCTGCAGGGTTGAGCCCCAGTCCCCAAGAGCTTAAAATCCCCATGATGACAGCGAGAATGCATTCATGTATGACTTGATTACCTTCTTTTAAAAGGTCATTATGACATTTCAAGAAAGGGCTATTCACTAACCTTCCATCAATTCCCATACAGCATTCCCAGCCAGCATATCGGCTGGCTCTTCGGATGATTGGAATTGAATTCCCATTTTGTCCTTAATCACTGGGGCAGTGACCAATTAAGTTGACAGGTTGAGGGAAAGAGATGTGAGGAAGAAAACAAACTGTGCAAGCTCGAACTGGAAGATTAGTTCACATGTAGCACAAGACAACTAGGGGTTTTAGTACTTGACATCTTGTTTTTTATTTTCACTAAAAATAACTTTAATGGGGAATAAATGGTTCTGATCTCTACCCCACTCAGACAATCTACTCACTAAAGCTTATATTTTATCTTTTTACAAGTTAAAGCATATTTAATCTTCAAAAAAAGGTCTTCAATGTAATTATTATTGGCCTTAATTTACAGATGAAGAAACTGAACTTATCAACCAAATTCAGACCCTTCAGACAAGTCCTGCACTGCTTTGCATATGAGGGACCCAAATGTGTATGACAGGTATGCCTTCCACGGTTTGCAGTCTGAATCAGAAGAATCAACATGGGCAATAGTTAGAAAACAAAAGACGGAAGTGGAGGAGAGAGCATGTTGACCAAGAAGTCTACATGGAGAAGCCAGGACTCGAGTTGGGCTGTGGGAGTTGTGCAATAATCACAATCAGGAAGAGATGTGAAAATGTTCTGAGGTCGATAGGAGGTTTTTTTAATTGCATTTTTTAAATGAAGTTTCTTTTTTTTTTTTTTTTTGAGACAGAGTCTTACTCTGTTGTCCCAGCTAGAGTGCCGTGGCATCAGCCTAGCTCACAGCAACCTCAATCGCCTGGGCTCAAGCAATCCTGTTGCCTCAGCCTCCTGAGTAGTTGGAACTACAGGCACATGCCACCATGCCCGGCTAATTTTTTCTATATATATTTTTAGTTGGCCAATTAATTTCTTTCTATTTTTAGTAGAGACGAGGTCTCACTCTTGCTCAGGGTGGTTTCAAACTCCTGACCTTGAGTGTTCCACCCGCCTTAGCCTCCCAGAGTGCTAGGATTACAGGCGTGAGCCACTGCGCCCGGCCTTAAGTTTCTTATTTTAAAAAAATTGTAGATTCACATGTGCTGGTAAATAATACAGAGAGATCTGTGTACCTTTTACCCAGTTCCTCCAGAGGTAACACCTTATGAAACTATTGTATAATATCACAACTAGGATATTGACATAAAGACAATCCATCAATCTAATTCAGGTTTTTCCAGTTTTATTTGTACTTGTGTATGTGTATTTATTCCTATGAAATTTAATAACAAACAACCTGGATAGAACTGGAGACTCTTCTCCTAAGTGAAGTATCACAAGAATCAAAAACAAACATCACATGTACTCACTATCAAATTGGAAAGAACTGATCAGCATTCATGTGCACAGATGGAAGTAAAACTCAATGGAAATCAAGCAGGTGGGAGGGGGGAGGAGGGGATGGGTAAAATCACACCTAACAGGCAGGTACAATGCACGCTATCTGGTGTTGGTAACATTTATAACTTTGACTCAGATTGTACAAAAGCAATTCACACAGCAAAAACATTTGTACCCCCGTAATATTCTGAAATTTAAAAAAAAGACATTTAATAACAAGTGTGGGTTCATGTATCGGCCACCACAGTCAAGATAAAGAACAATCCCACCACCACCGGGATCCCTGTGCTGCCCTTTCATAAACACACCCACCTCCCTCTCTCCTCCCCGCACCCCAGTCCCTAACCTCTTGTAGACCCCTAATCTCCTTCATTTTCATAATTTTGTCATTTCAAGAATGTTATAGCAAAGGCTCTGAATAGACATTTCTCCAAAGAAGATGTACAAATAGCAAATAAGCTCAATATTTTCAGCCATCAGGGAAATGCAAAGCAAAACCACAATGAGAGACCATTTCACACCTGCTAGGAGGGCTACTATCAAAAAGACAGAGTTGGCAAGGATGTGGAGAAATTGGAACCCTCATAGAGTGCTGGTAGGAAAGTAAAACGATGCAGCTACCTTCAAAGACAACCTGGCAGGTTCTCAAGAGATTAAACAAAGAGTTATGGAATGACCCAGCAATTCCACTCCCAGGTATATACCCAAGAGAAATGCAAACAGATGTCCACACAAAACTTTGTATACAAATTTCATAGCAGCTTTATTCGTAATAACAAAACACTGGAAATAACCCAAATGTCCATCAACAGTAAGCATATAAACAAATTGTGGTACATCCATACAGTATGTGTAATGCGTTACATACTGTGAAAAGGAATGAATTAGTGATATATGTATTAGCATGCATTCGTTTCAAAATATTTATTCTGAGTGAAAGAAGCCAGGTTAAAAAAGGGTGCATCCCCCAAAACCACCACACTAGAATATATATAGAGAGAAAATGCAAACTAATCGATAGTGACAGAAAACAGATCAATGGTTGCTTGGGGCAGGGGAAGGGGAGCAAGTAGAGAGGGAGGAAAGGATTATAAGGGAAAGTGATAAACACATTCATTGTCTTGATTGTGGTGATGGTTTCACAGGTGTATACATATATCAAAACTTATCAAATTATACACTTCAAATATGTACAGTTTATATTTCAATTATAAAATGTTTTCTTCTTTCTTTCTTTCTTTCTTTCTTTCTTTCTTTCTTTCTTTCTTTCTTTCTTTCTTTCTTTTTCTTTCAACAGAGTCTTACTCTGTTGCCCTGGCTGGAGTGCAGTAGCATCACCATAGCTCACTGCAACCTCAAACTCCTGAGCTCAAGTGATCCTCCTGCCTCAGCCTCCCATGTAGCTGGGACTACAGGCATGTGCCACCACGCCCAACTAATTTTTCATTTTTTTGTAGAGACGGGGTCTCACTCTTGCTCAGGCTGGTCTTAAACTCCTAGTCTCAAATGATGATCCTCTCACCTCAGCCTCCCAGAGTGCTAGGATTATAGGCATGAGCCTGTAAATAAAGTGTTTTTTAAGTGTACCATTAAAGAACATTCTTTCATAAAATACCTGTAATCATACTAAATTCCTATTCCTCCATGTTTTCATGGTCTTTATACATAAGTTTGTGTTTTTGCCATCGAAAATCATAATATCTTGCCTTTTTCCACTTAACACCATTTCAATTTTTCTGGACTTATCCTTCGTTATCATTTGTCAGGGATTTTTGTTATACATGAATTTTTACATGAAAGTATAACATATAGACGGAAAAGTACACAAATCATAAGTGTACAACTTGATGAATTTGAAAATTTAAAGATCAAAATTCAAATTTCAAAGACTGTCACAAAGCGAACACATTCATAAGACCTTGCATTGCAAACAAGGGTCTATTTCTCAAGATCCTATTTTGGGCGGAACAATTCAATGTGCACTGTCACAGACAAACACAGCTGGATATTAGTTAAAGCCACAAAGACAGGTTTTATTCAGTAAGTTTTATTCACTGCAGACAATGGGCTGAGCTCCATTCTGATTTGTGCGGAGGTGATCAGGCGTTTTGGAAGGAGGGAGTTGGGAGGGGGAATGGCAAGGACTTGAGCAAAGTCAGAACAGTGAAAATCACAAAAAGCAGGAAGGGTTAGTCCACACGAAACCCATTTGGGCTTGCTAACTGACACCTGTGGAAGTTAGGCTCCTCCCCTCCCACAGAGGCGGGGCCACAGGGACCCTGTCTTCAGCTGTTGGCTGGAACAGGGGATAATTCTTCTGGCAGCCTTCAGTTTTCTCAGGCAGGCACATCAAGGAGGGCTAGAGTCATCCTAAGGATGTGGCCTTGAGCAGTTAGACTCTGTGTGTTTGTTCAAGTCTTTATAGGCCTAATCAACAAGAGGGCTTAGAGGACCCTCGCTGGAATTCGGTCAAGGAGAGAATTTTTGTCAGGATAACTGTCCCACATACCTGTGGTCCCCAATTCCCAGGCAGAGGATGAGTAGCAAGCAGTCAGTGGCCTGTTAGGAACGGGCCACACAGCAAGAGGCGAGCGGAGGGCAGGCTAGGCTGGCTTCACCTGTATTTACAGCCACTCCCCATCGCTGATACCACCACCTGCGCTAGGCCTCCTCTCAGATCAGCTGTGACATTAGATTCTCGTAGGAGCGCGACCCCCTGCTGTAAACTGCGCATGCGAGGGATCTAGGTTGTGCTCCCTGTGAGAATCTCATGCCTGGTGATCTGAGGTGGAGCTGAGGAGGTGATGCTAACGTTGGGAAATGGCAGCAAATACAGATTATCATTAGCAGAGAGGTTTGACTGTATGGAGACCGTAATAAATCACTGTCACCCAGTCACCCTCAGATGGGACCGTCTAGTTGCAGGAAAATAAGCTCCCACTGATTGTGCATTATGGTGAGTTGTATAATTATTTCATTATCTATTACAATGTACTAATAATAGAAATAAAGTGCACAACAAATGTAATGTGCTTGAATCATTCCGAAATCATCCCTGCTCCCAGCTGCCTTCCACAGAAAAACTGTCTTCCATGAAGCTGGTCCCTGGTGCCAAAAAGGTTGGGGAAAGCTGTCATAGATTACAGAACTTTCAAAATCATCCTGGGGCCCCTTCTACTAAATGTCAGGACTTCCTCCCAGCCCCCACTATGATAAGCAAAAAAAGTAACCTGCTGCATTTCCAAATATCCCATCCCACAAAACCACCACACTAGATAATGTCTAATGTGCCTTCCAGCTTTGAAATTCTACAATAATATCATTGGCTATTTTGTCTCCATTTGAAAATAAAAACCAAAGAAACAGGCTGCAAAGACAGTATACAGAAGTGTTAAATAGTGGAAGGGAGGATGCAAGAGGTGGTGGCCTTTTCTCCTCCATAAATCTCAACATGAACACACACTGCCTTGCCTGAATCACTTTGTATAAATTCCTAGGGAGCCAGGCCAGGAAATGGGCAGATCCTGGAGAAGACCCGAATTCAAGCTCCGATTATGCCATTTAACCACCTAGCTTCTCCTAGCCTCAGTTTTGTTACTTATGAAACAGAAAATATCTACTGCAAAATGAAAACATGTGTATAAGGCAGCCAGCACACAGTAATAGTCTAATAATGGTGAGCTATCCTCCTACATGTGTGAGATGGCCTGGTACTAAGGCCTCATCCTGACTTGAATTCTATAGCCAGGCCTCTGATAGGTTTCACCTAAGCTAAAAGGCATGTCTTGCAAATGAACATCTTCTGAGAATTAAATTTTAATGGCAGATTACCAAAACCACTCTGTAAATCAGTAATCATAATCAATCAATTTAACTATTTTTCTATAAAAAGTTCAATATTATCCCCATTCCTATGCAGTTTTCAATACACGCTTGTTGAAGCTTACCATGTAGCAGGCATTGGGCTTAAACCCAGATGAAACTAAGTCTTTGATCTAATGGAATTCACAAACCTTTGGCAGAGAGATCGCAAAGAACAAATCCAAAAAGTTAAGTAAAATTGTAACATGTGGCTAATGCTACAATGGAAGAATACAGGGCACGATGGAGGGAGGAAGAGGGTGTTTGCCAGGTGGACACCAAAGAAAAGAACTTTCCAGGAGAAAGAGAAGCCTGTGCAAAGGCCTGGAGGCAATCAACAGCTGCCTGTTTTCTCAGAACAGAGATAAAATCACAGGTGAGGTAGGAGATGAGTGAGGTAGGAGGGATGGGCTTACATCCTTAGCTTAAGTCTTAGCTGCAAATTCAAAGACCTCTCTGGCCAGTTCAA